GGGGGGGCCCTGGCACCTTGTGGCGTTCAACTTCAAAAAGGGTTATCACGACTGCTTGTTCATAGCGAACTGGAGCCGTAACTTAGGTTAGTCTTGATTCTCGCCCGTGGCGTGTGGGTGTGGGGTGTTAACCCCTGCCACTTGACCTTGAGGTGGTGCTCGGGTGGTGCGCATTGTACCCCCTCATAGTGGTCATGTGATGTGGTACATATGCTATCGTGTGGAATGTGGGCGATGAAAGATTCGAGTGGGATTTCTTAAAACGTAATTGTAGAGTACTGCGTTCTACTCGCAGTTACGTAACTTATTGTTAGTTTTGGGCCCACGGTACGTTGCGCTGCATGTGGCGGATGGAGCGGGACAAAACGGAGAGCGGTAAGGGGCGCCAAGAGCGGGAGGGTGGTGCGCGCCCCAGCGGAGTACCCTACATTGGGTAAAACACAAAAGATTCCCGATAGGTCGAGCTTTTCCGCCTACTACCGGCGTGATGTGCGGGAAGCTCTCGACCACTCGGTATTATTAATGTTCTACGTGTCGTGCCGTTTTTTCCCCCCGTTATCCGAAATACACTATATCCTGATGAAGACCACAATGAGTCCTGTCCTCGCGTCCAGGTGCCCCCCTCGCAGATGACGCTGCTGATGCTGCCAAGTGTCCCGCTGCTGAGGGTGTTGGCCATGCTGGAGCCCAAGGACCTGATCGCCGCCGGGCGGGCGAGTCCCCGGCTGGGCGCGCTGACCCGGGCCAACACGTCGCTGTGGAAGGAGTCTGAAGTCTGGGACCAGGACGTCATGACGCTGCTGCAGGTCATCCCTCCCGTGGACACGTTGAAGGCCGAAGTTGAGCCGTTGTTTTCGGTTTCGGGCGAACCGTTGTCGGTGCCGCTGCGGCCCAGGGACGCCAGTGGTACTCCCGACCCAACTTTCTCCTACCCCCGTTACTCAGGGAGTGTTCTTGTGGGGAGACGCAGGTGAGGACGTGCGGTCGCACGATGCTCCGTCGATAAATCTACCAGTGATGTTTGTACCATTAATACACCTCGCGTGCTCCTCCCACAGCGAGCTGGTGCTGAAAGAGAGCAAGTCTTGTTACTACTCCGAGTTTATCGCCGTCAGCCTCATCTGGGAGCTGGCACCGAGGCTGAAGCACCTGGAGGTCTCACAGCTAGAGCTGGGCATTTTCCTACAGTTCTTGGAGAGCGCCTTTTGCCTGGAGACACTACGCATCCGTAATCTTTGCACGTATAGCAAGAATGCCAGCGTGCCCTGGCCGCAGGTGAGTGAAAACGCGAGCGCCACTACACTTAAAATCCTACCTGCGCACATGTGAGGCGCGCAAGTCAGGTCGACAGCCACATGCTGGACAGGACGTCTTTGTCCGCAGGATGTGAGGGTGCCCAGGCTGCACACGGTTAGTTTGAGCGGCCGCTGCCCCGATAGAGATGTCACTGCCCTCCGCTCGCTGCTGCTGGCGCACAGGTATCGTACCCCCTGCAACAGACTGATTATCGATGCATTACGCTACCGCGAGAAATATGCATTTATTTTGGATGCAAGAGGCGACTTGCAAGGCAAAGGCTGGTTAAACGCCGCGGCAGCCTATAAAATCGATTTGATAGACTGCTTCGGGTTCATACTCATACCCACAGTTACTGTTATAACCAGTCCACCCACCGCCTCGCCAGTGTCTGAACTCCGTCTCGTCTGCAGGGGACAGCTGCGCCATGTGGACCTGTCGGACCTGAGTTCACCGCTGCCGCTCCTGGACGCTTGCCCCGACAACCTCCACCGGTTGGGCGTGAAGGTAGAGGACGCAGAATCGTGCGTGGCTGTGGCCAAGACACTGCACCGGATGCAAGGACAGTTGAAGGAGCTGAAGATGAACTTTCGCTTTGCTGATGCTGATTTGGTACGCAATGCTATACATTCTTTTATCTCCTCGCACCTCTTGTCGCCCTATCGCGACTAAGTCCTAGTACCTTTTAGGTACAAGACTCGCTGGCTTCGTGGGGCGGCCCTCTCGAACGCCTTGAGTTTGAGAACTACTACCCCGAAACGCTACGCGTTGTGGGTGCGGGTGGGCTCTCGGGACTCCAGCACCTTGTTCTGGTGCGGCCCAGGGGTGATGATCCTGGTGAGGTGTCGGCAGCCCTGTCCGGCCTTCCCCGGCTGCGCTCCCTGGTCCTGCGGGCCGGACTGTGCATGCTGCCGCCCGAGGCGTTCCTGGACATTCCGGCCGCCAACCCCGACCTCGAGCTGCTCGTCGTCGTGGGCATCACCAAGTACAATTGCTTGTGTCTTTACAAAGGTGAGTCGTTGGAATGAAATGGTGTTTCGGAGAAGCCGCGTGGGCCTCAAACTGAACAAATCAGTGGGGCTGTTCTTTTATTTCCACTTTTGTGTGTATTTTCCTGGCCCGGGGGG